TTAGTACATGTATTGTGCAGATGAATAAACATCATTTTTTAAGGATTTCATTTTCCACTCCATTATGAGGAATGCTAAGACTAAGACTGTTAGAAACTGCTTAAAAACTGCCATAAAACCTCCAGACTGCCTAATAACTGTTTATAAACTGCTTAAATAAGCAGTTCACTTTGACTTGGGTAAATATAGTTTCTTAAAAGTTCAGCCTTCCCTCAAACAAATTTATTTCGCAAGTTACCATAGGTGTCCATTTTACCAGTTACGAATAAGCTGACGGGTTCCGGATACCCCAGAGGTTCTTATTCAATTCAACCCTAAATTAAAAAAAAACATCCCAGACGTTATCCATTGGCACATCTAAGAAAAGTTAAATTAATTGCTTACCAATAAATTATTTGTATTTCCAAAGGTTTAAGAGAAACTATGGGTACTATGGGCACTGAACTCATTTTAATGATACCCCACGCTTCCCTTTGGATTATTTAAGACAAAGTCCATGTTTTACTCTGGTAGACACGAAATAAGTGTCAGATGAAATAGTTTAATAAAAGGTCACAATGTAATAAAGAATATGTGAAGTTATCATTAAATCTTATTCAGTGGTATAGGGGGAATTGCGGATAACAGATGGATATACCTTTCAATATTACATTATGTTGGAGGTTTTCAGACCCAGGAGGTTGGGGATTTTTTTTTTTTTTTTACAGTTGAAGCTGAATGACTTCTAGTTTATCTGGAAAGTCTAATTTTAATTATTTTATCAGTCTAGTTCTGTTTATAGCATTTCTCTTTGAAATTTAGCCCTTTCTTAAGACAAACTTTACAAACAGTGCAATCCACACAAATTTTTTTAAGAATATTGTTATGAGATGTTTGTTCTTTTGTAGAGTGTTCACCAAAAATTAGTTTTATCATTATGTTTCAAAGACTTGTCATATATATTAACAAACACCATTTTCCTTTAATATTTGGGATAAAACATTTCTGATATTTGGGATAAAACATTTGTGATGGACCTATGTAATTTTTAAATCTCATTCGTCTGTCTGTCAGTCTGTCCGTTCATCACGAGAAACTTTTTCAATGCCCATAACTTTTGATTTAGTGGAGCTATGACTTCATATTTTACATGTATATTGCTTGTGATAAGACCTTAATTTGGGTATCACCATGCAAATTTGACGAAGTGACCTTGGAGTTTGAACCACTTTTACATAAAAATTCCAAACTTTTACTTTGGCCATAACTTTTGAATGTTAAATACTATGACTTTCATTGGATTCCAAGAACTTTGACCTTTTGACCTTGACCTTTGAGATTTCCATACTTATGAAAAAACTTTGTTTGACCATAACTTTTGAACGGTGCGGGCTTGGGCTTTCATACTTCATATGTATAATTCTTGTGAGAAGACCTTTCATTGGATCTAAGAACTTTAACCCTTTGAACTTGGAGTTTGGCCTACTTTTCATAAACATTGACCTTGGACACAACTTTTGAACAGTAGAAACTAGTACTTTCTTATTTCACATATATATTCTTTGAGGCAAGACCTTTCATTTGATATTAACAACCTCTACCTTTTGACCTTGACCTTGGATATTTTCCGTACTTATGAAAAAACTTGACCATAACTTTTGAATGGTAAGGGCTAGGGCTTTTATACTTCACATATGTAATCCTTGTGAGTCGTGAGAAGACTTTTCATTGTATACCAAGAACTTTGACCTTGACGTTCACGCAGTGATAATTTCTAAAGGGTGCACGATGTTTCGGGACCCCGACGTTTCGGGACCTGACTAATACGACGTTTCGGGACTAGCGACAAGATGGTTCGGGACTTGGGCAAAGACGGTTTGGGACTTGGGTTAAATTTTTCGGGATTTCAACAAATTATGGTATTATGGTGATATAGTATGTTTTATAAGTACACATAGCACGTAATATAAAATTATTTCAAGCTAAATCCGCATTATGATTTATTTATACATGTACGTAATTATAATTAAGTTGTATACATGTATATTACTGTCATAAAAATATACTTCAGTGTTTTATTCACAACAGACGAAGAAGAGTAAAACTTTATTATATTTATTTGGGGGGGGGGGGGCGAAATTGAATCATAATTTAGAAAAGATTTCTCACGTTGATGAAATTTATTTAAAATGATAATTTATAATATTTATTCAAGTGATCTCCAGCTACCGTCCAATATGTTTAAAACAACATGTCAGATAATTGTTAAAACAACAATTAGGATCTCTCACACCGACTGATACTGTACATAGGGAAGTGTTACTTGAAGGCGCCGCCGGTAATATTTTTTTGTAAATCTAAATACTTTATTTGAAGGAAAAGGTTGACTAACTATTGAGCATTCAAAATTCTTCAAGAGTTCGAAGTACTTCAGCCTTTTTGGAACATACATGTATTTTGACCAACTACTGCATACGTTCGACTATTCTCTGTTGAGAAGTTGATGGCTCGTTGAGGGGGAGTATTAAAACGAGACATCAACTTCTCAATAGAGAATAACGTCAGTCGACATTTTTTTTTTTATGTCGACATTATTTCAATGTGTTATAGACCTACTAAAATTCTTATATGTCATGCTAAACACGTACTGCATAATCTGATTCATGTTTCAAACAAATTTATTTCAAGTCCCGAAACGTGTTAACCCAAGTCCCGAAACGTGTTGGCCCAAGTCCCGAAACGTGTTGTGAGGTTCCGAAACGTCGGGGTCCCGAAACATCGCGGTCCCGAAACATCCAGAATTCATTTCTAAATAAGTGACATATGATTGGGTGTTCATATTAGATACTATTTGTCAACAAAAATGACATCTCACCCACAAAGACACTGAAAATGGGGGACCACAACTCTTTGAATTTGCTTGTTTTTATGGAGAAACATAAATATTCTGCTCTTCAACGCTGCATGTTTTCACATCCACTGATCCAACCTGATCTGACATTTTGGTGGCTTTCATTTTGTCAAATAGCCACTTGAATCTCTATTTCATTAATACTAAGAAAGGGTTTTATTGACCTGTATTGTTAAAATAATAGAAATGGAAATATTATGATATAATCAAATTATTGAAAACTATTAAAACAAAACGTGATGATAACATCTCTGTGGGGTATAATTTTCAGGGTTTTAGGAAATATCTTGGTTTTGGGGGGTTTGAATTCAAGGATGTAGAGTTGTTAAGTAGTTACGTATATGAAATTATATTTTTATCAACAGAGAATTTAGGTAAAATGCATTCCGTTGGGCCCTTGCACCAAACTGAATGCCTGATGCTGTAAGGTTGAAGGCAGACAGTTTAGTTCAATGGTCCAATAAAATGCATTTTACCTGAGAATTTTCTCAATAATTGTTTTATACCTTTCATTTTAATATTTCTATGTCATACGTGTACTGTCTTCCGTGATGTAACCTCAGCTCCATCATTTGAACACCAATGAAATATTGAGATTAAGCTTCATCCATTGTGTGACAAAAGCAGTCTGAAATCTCTTCGGTTTTCTTATTAGCAGAACATAATAAATTTAAAGATTTTTTTGCATTATAGATTGATATAGGTACAAATTTTTTAAACATGTGAAAGGTATAACAATGTACTATTTGTGGTGCGCATGAATCAGGGTTCTCCATTTTTGAAAATTTAACCATGGGGGGAAGCTGCGCGAAGACGAAATGTGACTGAAAACACGAATGTGTGACAGACATCCTAATCTTTATTAATCAATGATATGGTTTACATTTTTCTTTAACTTATTAACTTCTGTAACACAAAACGTTGAAATAACCAAAGAGAATATTTAAGCTAAAAAAATAAAAATTGTATTGAAATAAAAGGGATTATTATGTTATCTTACTTCAGAAATGTACCAAAATTTGCCCAAAACTGTAGTAACTTTTTGAAGGAATTTCATGAAAAACTTTTGATACATTAACCATGGCAATATTTTTCAGAAACAAATAATTATAAGAATTTTTGTAGCCTTTTGTATGAAACATTTTGTTTAAATATGACTAAAACTGAGGAATGGGTATAATAAGTATTCTTTTTTAATTTAAAGCACAGTGGAACATTTGGGTTTATGTCCCTTTTTTGTAAACGTTCTATTCTTCTAAATATTGCATTATTCATCTACATGGTCTAGTACACTACTTTTTTTACTTCTCCATATGTCCTTAGTGCTAAAAATAGCACCACGCGACGTTGCATAAAAACGGGAAGTAACTCTAAAACTTAGACACTTACGTACATTTTATCAGAATGATAAGAAGCTTAAACTTTTAATACAGAACATGGGATATTGATTTAATACAGTGGGGAGGATTCTGGAATATGAAATTTTGAGAGAGTATTTTTTTTTGTACAGAAACTTAAATCAGAAGCATGAAGATTATCATTCTTTTACTCGTAATTGTCATATTTTATAAACCCGTTATCTTATCATGTGGTGAACATGTTGAAGTTCCCCAAAATTATTAACAAATTATTAACATGTGTACAGGATAATTGAATCTCAATAAATTAATCATCAGCTGATTGACTCTCCATAGTCACGCTTCACAGCATAGCTAGTAGCCGATTATTGACAGTGTTTTAGCACAACCAGACGGAGTGGCTTTCTCTCGAGGCATGCCTTGTGCATGGCAGTCTTAGTATAAACACAATTATCTACTCAAGTCATTAAAAATTAGGGTCAGGACTGAAACGCAGTTTAAATTTATAATCATGGCGGCCGCTGATTTTAACCATGGTGCAGCACGTTTAATCATCACGCACATAAATTTAACCATGGCGGGCCGCCATGGTAAAACCCCTTGTGGAGAACCCTGGCATGAATTGATGGGATTTCTAAACAATGAAAATGAAGCCGTCATAAACTTTGTTATTAATATGTTTCACTGTATGTTGGAAATAGTTATAAATACTTTACATCATATGGTTTATTAATTAAAATATTTTGATTTTAGGTTATCATTAAGATATTGCTTAACCATGGCGTCTCCTGCTAAGAAGTTCAAAAGTGATACGGTAAGTTACTTAGTCTACAATATATAAGTTAATGTTTTTAGTGTACAGATAAATAATTTTCTGTATCAATTTTTGTGTTTGATGAACGATATATTGTAAATGTATTATATTAAGTGTACACAATTTTTGGTGGAAATTGATTTTTTGAACACAAATTAATAGCGTAGATTAGATTCAGGGTTCTCCACATTTGAAAATTTAACCATGGAGGAAGCTGTCCGAAGGCGAAATAAGACCGAAAACAAGAATGCCTGTTAGACCTTCTAACCTTCATAATCAATGATTAATTTCACAAAACTTAACCACTGCAACACAAAAAGTTGAAATAACCAACACATTTTTTGTTAAGCTAAAAAAAAAAATAAGATTAAAAAGGACTATTTATGTTACTTTACTAATGTACAAAAATTGGACCAAAACTGTATGAACGTTTTGAAGGAATTTCAAAAAATGATACAGTAACCATGGCAACATTATTCAGAACCTGATATACAGAATTTGATGTTGCCTGTTGTATGAAACGTTTTATTTAGATATGAGCAAAACTGATGGATGGATAATATTTTGAAAATAAGTTAACAGACATACAAACAAACAGACAAACAAACAGCGACATCTTTTTCTACATGTTGATTTTTTCGCCGAGTTTCTTCCATTGTTTACTTCTCCACGTGCCCAAGTGTTCAAAATAGCTCCACACGACGTTTCGTTAAAATGGGAGGTAACTCTAAAATATGACTGTGATAAGCGATTTACATTTTATCAGAAAGATAATATTAAAAGTTTATGCATAAAAACAGAGCATGGGTTGATTAAATAGAAAGAAATTTTGAAAGGCTTAATTTTTCTGGAAACAGAAACTTGATTCATATGCTTGTCAATTATCATGTTGTTACTGATCGTTATGTCATCTGTTGTAAATCTGTCATAAGCTTACAGTGAACACGATGGAATTCCCCAAAATTACAAGTGTACAGGAAAATTTAGTCTCAAGATATATTGATCATCAGCTGATTGACTCTCCATTGTTACGCTTCACAGCATAGTTGCCGGTCAACGACCGTGTTTGTTTAGCACAGCCCACTTTATCTCATTGTATATGGCACTCGTAGTACAAACACAATTAACTACTCAAGTCATTAAAAAGTATGTGCCAATACAGAAATGCAATAAAAATTTAATCATGGCGGCCGCCAAATTTGACCATGGCGCAGCTCGTTTAACCATGGCGCACATAAATTTAATAATGGCGGGCCGCCATGGTAAAACCCCCTTGTGGAGAACCCTGTGATTTAGTGCATTTCTTAATCTGCTTATTTATGTGTATAAGTGCAAGACATTTAGCGTTGTACTTGAATTAGCGGAAGTTTCTCTCCACCAAAAGTGCTAAAAAGAATACACAGCCAAATGTAATACATTTTCAGTATGTTGCTGTTGTTATTCAAAATACATTTAAGATGGCATAAATGCTGCAGTTGGTATTATAAGTTTCATTTCAATATTCTGGCTTATATTAGCACATACGTGTGGTTAAAGCTATGATCTTTACTTTTACTTTACTACGAACAATAAATGTTGCTTTGGTTTCTAAATATATTCATTTCTGATGAAAACTTTATAAATAGAACTTTAATACAATGTTGGGAAGGATAATTATAGGAGAAGAAAATAATAATTGCTGTACTTTGTTGTGGTAAATATTAAAAGGGTGACAAATTTATTTTCAATTTGAAGTTTACTGTAAGAGAGAAGTGTTGATTTGACAGTGATGCTACATTTTGTAAATTAATACAGGTAACTCTCGATACCTCGAAGTCCGGGGGACCGAAGGAAAACTTCGAGAGATCAAGAGTTCGAGTTTTCAAGAGTCCGGAATTTTCCGGGTTTGTTAACAGGTTTTAAAATTAGTCTTACCGGATGTATTGATTTTAATGCAGTGCTAACTTTTACACGTGGTTTTTATAAAACAGCGATATTTTTAAGTGATTTAGATGAATATTTCATTAAACTAAGTAAAGCAAAAAAAATGTATATCGTCATTTCAAGTATATTTATTTATTTATTCTTTGTAATACGGACATCATACTACGCATTCGTTGTATGAAAACGACATTTTACAGCGTCGTACATAGCATTGACTATTCCAAACATGATCATTGAATGCAGTTCTGTAAGTATTTGTCCAATAATAGTCGTCATATCGACAATGAGGCTGTTTCTGCTTTTTCATATTTCGTTTAACTTTGACACTGACTCAAAATAAAAATTAAATTAGTGTTTCGTCTTTAAATCAATTACTACTTTTCACGGACACTGCGCCTCTAAATTATCGTAAGACAGTCGATGATAATTATTTTAATAGCATATAGGCAAAATATGATTAATTATAAATCAATTATCACCTTGCAGCATAGTGTCACCTGAATAAACATCCCGTTCCTCGAGACCCGCGTCTTCTGCCTGGGGCCATTTAAATGTCCAGGTAAAGGTGTTAATTATGTAACCTGGTGTACACATAGCCACTTCGAGGTATCGAGGGTAAATTCTGATAGAATATGCATAACGGGACTGCATTTTGACTTCGAGGGATCAAGGGTTTCGAGAGATCAAGAGTTCGAGATATCAAGAGTAAATTTGCTTAGTTGTATAGGAGAAAAATTCGGGACCGGAGACTCACTTCGAGCGATCAAGAACTTCGAGAGATCGAAGTTCGAGCCATCAAGAGTTACCTGTATATTAAGTTTACCACTTTACTGTGAGATAGGGCTTTCATATTAAAACATATATTATTGTTACGAGATCTGTCTGAAAACACTTATTTTTTAACCTCGTGATCTCAATTTTGCTCTTGATTTTCAAACCATGCTTATATATTGTCTTTTGGAAGAGAAGACAGGCTTTCATATTAAGGCCCAAATATAGATATTGTTTATTTCCTCTTGGCTGACTGACTAATGAAAATTAGCCAGACTCTGATGATTGCGATTAGGAACTGAATTATTTGTTAGACAGCATGGTAGTTGGTGATATATGTATGAGATATATATATATATATATATATATATATATTGTTTTTTCTTGATGTATGTTTTGACTTCCATGTTTATAAATGGAGAAAATTACTGTGAGTTTATCAGAGAATTTAGTTTTAAGCCTGACTTGCACACTGTACATGAGAAAACTCATCATGCAGTTTTAGATATTTTTGTTTTAAAGTTGTGAAAATCAAAATTGTAAGATATGGCCACACCAATTTGCAAAATATTATATAGTTCTTTGGATTTTCAAAAATAAAAATTGAGGTGAGCAAGCCAAAATAATATTACAAATATTATTTTTCATTTCGGGTTTCAATTAAATTATGAGGAATCGAATAGAATTATGAGGAATCGAATATAATTAATGTAGGTGGCAAAATTTTTTACTTTCTTCTCTTTTTCCTATTATTTTTTTGGGAGAGAATACGTTTTTGATGTACTCATAAGACGTGAAAACATACTATCTTTTGTTGTCGTAACATTCCAATTTAGATGTAGCTTCATTTCTACAAATTTTCTGTTTAATTCTTCGCTAATTGTTAAGGTCATGTTTCAAAATCACAATTGCATCGCTTTTTGATTTTTCTTTAATTTTTATTGAAAATATATCGTCAATATTTACTTAACCTTGTGTGTATTTATCATATGTTGATGATGTTCTCTTTATTGTTTCATCAAACAAATTACTGAATAAGCTTCAAATATCTCCTCTACCTCAACTGGCTGTGTATAGAACTATTTAGAAACAATGTTTTTAACAATATATTGTACACAGGGGTGTTCAATTAAAAAAAAAAAGAAGTACTCTCGCAATTGGGCTATTGGAAGCTTTTAAATTACTAGCCCCAAGTAAAACGTTACTTGTCCAGATATAGGGGCAAAAATTTAAATAAATACCAGTGTTGAGAAGAAAAATTAATTGCTGGAAAAGTCCTTTCAGTTGTGGTGTGGTAGGGTTAGGGCCAGTAAACACGGTAATTATAAGGCTTGCCTTATAAGTTTAAAATTGTATGTTTTGCAGGACATAGTTTCTCCTGTCCACATGCTAAGGCTATTAAGACTTACAATATCATAACATTTACATAAATTCCGTGTACGTGTTTTTATTATATTAATATTAGCTAGGACTTTGAAATAGTTTTTACCGACCATTCCATCCACACTTCTTAACAAAGAAGAGGAGGTTAGCTGAAGTATTTGCGGATATTTTCATTATGACATTTTCGAATATACTTTCTTCAAAAATCAACATGTATGGTTTTATAAAAATAGATTGATCTTTGGGTAAATGGTTTTCATCGGTTAAGAAATAAATGTCAGCTATAAGTCTTGTATTAAGAAATAGAGTAGTGTTCTAATCCAAAGTTAGACTTTTAAGACTCCAAAACACGTGTATTAAGAGTGTACACGCGGTAAGGCTAGAACTTAAGTTACATGACTTATGAGGCATAAGCCTTACCGTGTGTACCAGCCCTTAAACATCTGGATATTCTGCAGGAAATGAAGCTTAGGCATTTCTAGGTCAAGCATTGTTTACTATGAGTCTACCATTATAGTGCAAATTTGTGCAAATGACAAAAGGTAACTGGAGATAGGTAAGGGTTTGATTTTTAGCTCTACTGGTCAGAGACCAGAAGAGCTTATGCGATAGTAAGGTGTCCGGCGTCCGTCCGTCTGTCTGTCTGTCTGTCTGTCTGTCTGTCCGTCTGTCTGTAAACAATTTTTCAAAATGCTACTCCTCCTACAGTTTTGGTCTGATTTCAATATAACTTGGCACACAGGTAGACTACACTAAGATACATAATCTAGTGCATTGGTTTTTGATTTGGATGAGCGGTGTTGCCATGGTTACTAAAAATAGAAATTTCTGTGAAATTCCTTTAAAACCCTACTCCTCATACAGTTTTGGTCTGATTTCAGTATAACTTGGCACACAAGTAGACTACACTAAGATACATAATC